GACTGAGTTCTCATCCGAGGCCCAGGCTTCAATCAATTCGCGGCCTGTTTTAGAAGAGCGTTGAACATAGCAGTGCCGAAAACACTCATGCCTCAGTGTGCCTAGCAAAGTTAACAACACTCTTCCGCATTAAAGTTCGTAAGAACGAACACTCACATTGCCACCGAGACGTCAGGATGAAGGGGTTGTAGTCTTAGTAGAAGATTACTTAAGACGAAGTAGATAAAAAAAATGCTCACAGTAAGTTTTCTCATGAAATCATCACTGCGGTAGAGGGACTTAAATAAAGGCGCAGGTGTCGGATACAGGTGAAAATCCCCTTTTTTAGAGTCAAGGTACGCTTTCCAGGCTATGCACTGTATCAAAAATCCAAGAAACTGAACTGCAACTATGACCCATTCGCTCGGTAGTTAATTCTTCCTGGCAGAAATCCGTACACTAGCTGGTTAACCAAATCAAACAACCGTATTCTTAATCTGCCGCACATGAAGTTTTGTCAGTAGTCTGAATGACCTTAAATTTAAAAGAGGAGGCGTATAATTGCACTGTAAGTTCATAATCCGTTCTTTGATGTGCTGTAGGAGAAAATCGCAGGTTTAACATGTAAGCTCACATGTGAAGAAAAACTACAAGCAAGACAGTCGCGCGAGCTAGTGCAATTTTGCGTGAAGAACGTGAGACTTCCTTTCAGTAGACAGCCATGTTGGCTGATTAGTGTCGTAACTGTAGGTCGCGCCCTAGTACCAGACCTAATCTATGTATTCGTGTAAAGTCTTCAGCAAATACCATGAGAGAATCTAGAGATAACATCATTTTATAGATATTTCTGAGGTAGTGGATGACCCGAGGCATTACAATTTACTAGTTAATGAGAGGAACAAGGTATATCCATAGATACTGTTAACTACGGACTGTGCAGAAAAAAAGGTTGGTCTTCCTGTCTGCTCAGTACAGAGCTCAGCAGAAAGGTTCACTCAAATAACTATTGATCGAAAGCCTCGGCGGGAAGGACGGTTTCCAAATGTGAAGAGTTTCGCCTCCAATACACAGAGAGAGAACGTAATCTTGCCACTGAGTTCTTCTCGGCTTAAAAGTTGAAAAGCTAGGGGAACCACCTCAAAGATGGCTTAGAGAGTAACGAGTATCTAAAAGTATTTGCCACAAAAGTTCGCCCTCCAAACGAAATGACAATGACAAAACCAGCAGCCTTGTATAGCTCATCCAGTGGAGATAACGTGGCTCATAAGATTAAGTGAACGTTTCACGGAAGAATTGAACGAGCAAACGTCTTAGGCTGCTAGGTCCTCAAACGACCATCCCGGCCAGACCAACCAAAGCTGCTCTGTTTGAATGCAGTAACAGATTCAAGCAAACTGGTTGAAGTGAAAGACAACTGACAACTCGTGTACCGAAGATATTTATTGAGAGCCGAAAGCAAGCTACCCCGACCGCCAGTCACAAAGCACATGTTGGACACTGACTGTGCATAAGATTGGCGTGTAGTGACAAACCCTCTCCTACGCTAATCCGACGCCAGAATTGTGTGAGCAGGTGGATTGCAGGATCCAGTTTGCAGTGTCTTTGGTGAAGAGTCTTTGGCAAGTGATGCCTTATCTTCTCTACTTCTCAAACTATAAGCCTATCCTCTCGAAAGTCTGAACAATCGTACACACCGTTTATCAGATAAATTTGGCCTGTTCTGAGCTTATTCATCTTGCCCACTA